AAAAGAAACCAATTAAAGCATCTCAGAAACATAGGTATTCGAAACCAGTCGAGGATTATAAAAATGACAAAAATCCAAAGGGGAATGATAAAGTAGGAACTATCGTCGACCCATTTTTCGTTGTTGAGGGCGACGAAAATGTACGATGTGCAAAATGTCTCGTGTGGGGCCATCACTTCAAAAAGTGTCGAACGCAACCGAATAGGGTGATCTGCTACAAATGTACAACCATGGGTTACGTCTGATCAATGCCCGTGGTCAAAAAACGCGTAAGGGATTCGATTGGGAATAGTGGTCCATCGTACTCAGAATCCACAACTTTATCTAAATCCACTGTCTCTAACAATCCGCACTCTACCGAAGTCCCTCTACAAATCGACAAATCTTCAGTCCCGAATTCCAGTAATAATTCTACTCTGATTCTTAATGAGTATAATCAAGCTCAAAGGGATGGCAAAGAACCATCAACCCAATATTCTGAACGAACACCACCATTTACCAAACCTACTTCAGCTCCAGTCCCTAATCACAATCAAGACGGAGACAACAAAGTTAACCCACCACGACTCCGCGATGTTTTCTTTATCTCAGAAAAATGCTTGACATATAATATGCCGAACGAGCAATTATCTCACGGTTATGGTTAACAACCATTCTCATACGGTTTTACTCGATGGTGGAGCTGAAGTCACAGTCATTTCACAAACATTTTATGAGAAGTACAGATGGGGGCAGTTGCAACCTACCAAAACCTCCATTGGTCTTGCCGATAATTCGATTTCATTTAAGGCCATTGGTAAAGTGGATGTATTATATACGGTCGGTAGTCTTACCCGACTGGTGCCAACTCTTGTCGTACCTATCTCACTGAAACACCCAATTATGGGACGGACATTCCTTGAGGCCTTCTATTTCGAACTGGTGCAGTACCAAGAGAAGGTTCAACGATTTTTAAAACATACAGCCAAAGGTGATACTGAAGAAGTTGCATCTGCTAAAGTCGAAATGGTTACGGCGGATAAATTTATTAATTTTTGTAACCAGCCACCAGGGAGTGGGAAAGAACAAGCTCAGGTATCTTCTATGAGTAATGATCTGGAGCCAATTGACGCTTCCACACTCGGTTTAGAGGGTGAACTAGATACCCCAAAAATAACGAGCGTAAGTCTTCCACATAATCTCACCCCCGATCAAAGACAAATGTTGGACGCCGTTCTCAGACTTTTTAATCCAACTCCTGAGTCTGGTCCTTTAAACGTCACTAATCAGATCGAACACGTAATTGATACGGGTGATGCAAAACCCGTTATGAAACGCGAGTATCCAGTATCGCCATACGTGGCTGAACAAGTTCAAGCCGAATTGGATAAAATGCGTAGTCGTGACATCATTATGACCATCGAAGAAAGCCCTTGGCGGTCACCAATTCTGGCTGTAAACAAGAAAGACGGAACGTGTCGCGTGTGCTTGGACGCGAGAGAGCTGAATAAAATTACCATTCCGAATGCCTATCCAATTACGGATACTAACCAAATTTTAGCACGACTAAAGTCAGCTAAATACCTAACCAGTATTGATCTGTCTCAAGCTTTCTTTCAAATTCCTTTGGCAAAATCGAGTCAACTGAAAACCGCTTTTGCATTCGGTAACAGACTTTATGCTTTTCGTCGCATGACGATGGGGTTGAGAAATTCACCCGCCACATTAGTCATTCTCATTGATAAAATTTTCCGTGATTTGGTTCCACATGCATTCGCATATGTCGATGATTTCATAATTTGCACTTCGACGTTTGAAGAACACGTTAAGATATTGGCTATTGTTGCAAAACGGCTGGCGGGGGCCGGCTTAACCATCTCAATATCCAAATCGAATTTTTGTTGTAAACGATTGGAATTCCTGGGCTACGTTTTGTCTCAACAGGGTTTATCTGCGAATCCATCTCGTATTCGAGCGATTGTTGAATTTTCACGGCCCAAAACGGCAAAAGAAGTCAGACGGTTCGTTGGTGCAGCAGGCTGGTACCGTAAATTTATTCCAAATTTTTCGGAGATCACAGCTCCCCTTTGTGAATTGTATAAAGGAAACCGAAAAAGACCCATTGAATGGAATACCGCTGCTGAACAAGCCTTTCTCAAACTCAAAGAGTGTTTAACTACCACTCCCGTTCTGACTATGGCCGATTATTCAAAACCATTCAAGGTTTATACCGATGCCTCGCTGATCGCAGCGGGAGCTGTTCTAGTACAAGAACATGATCGGAATGAACGTCTGGTTCAGTATTTTTCTAAGAAATTCTCGAAAGCCGAACAAAATTACACAGCATCTGAACGGGATTGCCTAACCGTTCTCTTAGCGGTCGAAAAGTTCCGTCCATATTTTGAGGGTCGTGAATTGGTTGTGGTAACGGACCATGCAGCTTTGCGCTGGCTACAAACTCTCAAAGAACCAACTGGCCGTTTATGCCGTTGGGCGATCCGATTATCACCATACGATCTCTAAATTATTCATAAACCAGGAAAACATTTAGAACTTCCTGACGCCATATCTCGTTCTTTTGCTCTTCTCAACATCGTTCGTAGAAATCCAATTGACCTTCCGAGTAATTTTCACGTTAATCGTATCCCAATCACATCCGTGCTCAACATTGACCCAAACACGTGCGATAAATGGTACAACAAAATGCATGCCATGGCCTCAAAACAACCATTAGATAGATATAAAATCGATAACAACCTCCTATATCATCGATTGAAATTTTCCAATCAAAGTGCGGAAATACTGTGGACACTTTGTGTACCATCTTCTGACAGAGCAAAAGTCCTCGATGAAAATCATAACCAACATTCGCATCAGGGTGTCTGGGCGCAGCCCATGAAAAATGCAAACGCCATATCCGTAGTCAATGATCTTCGACATATATTCACGGTGAATGGCTGCCCCGAACTCATTATATCAGATAATGGTACTCAATTCATCAGTCAAACTTTCGCAAAGCTTTGCGCCGATTATAACATCAAACACATGAAAACGCCTTTGTACCATCCACAAGCCAATCAGGTCGAGGCAAAAGCATTCGACTTGGATTACGTGCTCGCATGGCTGACCTTCTTGAACATTCCCCCTGGGAAAACCATCTGTCTCGTGTTATTCATGATATTAACACTTCAGTGCATTCAGCCACGGGCTACACGCCATATTTCCTGCACACTGGTCGTGAATATGTGAAAGATGGAAACGAATATAAATTATTATTGGATGTAAATCCATACCATACACAGGATGTAGAACAGCGTAAAGTTCTGGCTGATGAAATTCGAGACAAACAGTTCGAACAATATCAACAAACCGCACAACGGGCATTTACCCGCAAGAGAGAACGCCATTTCGAGATAGGCTCGTAGGTGTACATTCCCAATCCTAAACAGTCCGTGGCCGGAGAGGGCTATGAACAAAAACTAGCTCCACCAAAAATTAGAGCCTATGTTTCACGGAAACTTGGTTCAAATTCATATGAACTGATCGATGCTAAACACCGAGTGCTTGGCAATTATTCCGCCGATTTAATCACAACACGTTAACTCATTCAGTACATTCGCCTTCTCAAGAATTTCGATGAATATATGGCGGGCTTCCATACTCCATTGATTCTGCCTTATTACAGGGTACCCGGCTTGAATAAATTAATTAAGTTTAGTTTTGTTATATCCATAGTTTTGTTATATTATATCCTCAGTACATTGCTAGTAAATCGATCAAAGCAAACAGAAAAGATTCATAACCAAATCATTTACCAATGCCTTTCATCTACCGTAGCTTATGTAATGCGTACTGAAACTAAATACGAAAGACGGAACATTTGTACATACATATGCGCTTAAAGGCGAACTGAACGAGTCAGGATGGGGTTGATGAAGATCATGTAGAACGATTTCGATGTAAGGTCTAACGTCGATCAAACCACAGCCCGTGAATCGCATTCGAACCACCATTCTCATATCCCTACCAAACGCTCCACTTTTTTTTTGTTAACGTGTCGCTGAAGATGAGAGGGGGATAATGATCTATTATTTTTTATTGCCCAAATAATAGACATAAGAACGATTATAAGAAATGTAAACATAACAAAACTGTCAAAGCTAAACTTCAAAATGGAGGGGGATTGCCAGATGAATGTACGTAACCAATAGTTATTCAAGACACGAACCATCATATTGGTAGAGACACGAATTGACATGGCCACTATGAAAACGGCCACACTGATATACGATAGAAGAATCGGTGATGACATACCGCGAGGCTATATAGATATTTCTTTTTTTTTTTGGAATTGGACACGGAGCGAACCACACTCATCAGCCCTCGCAAGAACGGAACTACAACCAAGTAATTAAAGTGGATTAAAAGCTAGCGACATTCGGGGAGTCGATACTCACCCCTCAGTGGAAATTAATAGAGGCAAAAGGTGCCGTCACATTCCTTCCGGCAAATCCCCAGCCATGTTGTTGCGTAGAAAAAGGAAGTTGTGAGCATCAAATCCGGACTATTCATTTAACAGCAATTGAGTCACCATAAGCCGGTAATACAAAATCATTACACGTAAGTCAGCCACTTTTTTGCCACCATCCATTGGAAACGAGCTATCCATCAACCATAAATAAAGATTCCTGTTTGGACCGACAAACCAAGGTCAATCAAATCATTATAAAACTTCGGGACAATAGTATACAAAGAATCACAGAAACACACCGATCATACGATCCTCTTCAATATCCATTAATATGCGTATATGGCGAAGATGGCTATCACTTTGGAATTCCCCAAACACAAGGGAACAAAACAGTGTCATGTATGGATTTCTACGCCTACACTTTTATGGTCAGAGACAACTACTTCAATCATTTACACCGATGTCAAGACTTATTTCAACAGTATGCTGTTGATATGTATGCAAAGGTGGAAGCAGAGCGCCTTTTGTAAATAAAAACACACCAAAAAGAATTACGCGTTGATTCATACATACATCTCAGGAACAGCGTTAGTAGTGAAAACACCGAAATAACTGATGTAGGGAAAATATGTATTCTACCATCCAGTTTAACAGGAAGTCCAAGGTATGTGAAATGTATAATGATTATTATTACGGCAGTCTGAATTAATTTTGCATCAAATTTCAATCTTATTCTTACAAATCAAAAATAACTTTTAGTTTTTGAGGAATTAAACAAAAGCTAAAAATAACTGTTATTTACTGAGTATTTCGGACTAATAAAAAAACTTTTATTTCAGGATTTATGAAATAAGAGTCGCAGAATGACTGAAATCTTAGGGATAAGTAAAAGTTTTGAGTGGACAAATGAAAATGCGCATTGATTTTTTTGTTTGAAATATGTATGAGGAGGAAAGAATGTTACTCATATGCCATGTACGATTATATCGCGATTTCATTTCTCAATTCACAACTTTTTTATTTATCCATTGTTTTTTTTTATTGGTAGCTTAATTTTTTTATAAAAGGCTTTAATAACAAAAATTTACAAACACCATATTATTTTTAAATTTCTGCTCTATCAAAGTTTGATATTTTTAATTCACAATGCAAACTTAAAATGATAGTATTGAAGAAAAATTATCTGATCTAAAAAAAAAACGTTATACAGATCCGTAATCTATGACCCAGTGTATGTTTGTATGCAACTTTTTGCTTACTCAAAACTAAAAATACTACATATATGTATATATTTAGATACATGCATGAACGGACCCAAGATGCCATGAGCTATGTGAGGACTTATGGGAAACCTGATCTTTTTATAACGTTTACATGTAATCCTACTTGGAAAGAGATGAAAGAAGAACTCTTTCATGGTCAGTCTGCGAAAGATCGTCGAGATCTGGTAGCAAGAGTATTTCGACAAAAAATAATTAAGATGATGAATCTTATAAAAAAATGTATTATCTTTGGTTCAATACGTTGCGATATGTATACGATAGAGTGGCAAAAACGAGGCCTACCTCATGCGCATATACTATTGTGGCTTAACAACAAAATACATTCTAACCAAATTGACTTAATTATTTCTGCGGAACTGCCAGATCCCAATACCGATCCAGTTCTATTTCATATCATTAAGAAAACTATGGTACATGGTCCATGCGGAAATTTGAATGCCAATTCTCCATGTATGGTAAACGGCAAATGTATCAAGAGACATCCGAGACAGTTTGTAAATGAAACGCAAACTGGAATAGATGGCTATCCACTTTACAAAAGGAGAAAACCAGGGCATGGTGGAGTGTCTACGAAAATCAAAGTCAACAATGGTATCGAGGTTGATATTGACAATAGATGGATAGTTCCTTATTGTCCACTACTTTCAAAAGCTTTTGAGGCTCATATAAATGTAGAATTTTGTAATTTTATAAAATCTATAAAATACGTTTGCAAGTACGTAAATAAATGTTCCGATGCGACGATGTACGCTCTTCAGAATCCAAACTTAAACGATGAAGTAACCACCTACCAATGTGGAAGATACATAAGCAGCAGTGAAGCTTTTTGACGAATTTTGGGTTTCCCTATCCACGAGCGACATACTGCAATTCAACAGCTCAGTGTCCATTTAGAAAATGGCCAAAGAATATACTTTACTGAACAAAATATTTTACAGCAAGTTATCGCTCCAAGAAATACAACGCTTACGGCATTTTTCCAACTTTATCAAACGGATTTATTTGCCAGAACATTGCTTTATTCTGAGGTGCCAAGTTATTATAATTGGAAAAATAACAAATGGAACAGAAGAAAACGGGGAAGTTGTGTAGAAGGACAACCAGATATTTTTAAAGACGACACTTTGGCAATAATTTATACTGTCCATCCCAGCCAGCAAGAATGTTTTTTTTTGAGAATACTTTTAGAAGTAAGGGGGCCAACCTCATTCGAAAGATTAAAAACAGTGAATGGTACTGTCTGTCAAACTTATAGAGAAGCTTGTTTGCTCCGTGGACTTCTTGAAGACGATGCACATTGGCAAGTAACTATGACAGAAGCATCGATGTCAAATTCCCCAAAAAGTCTAAGAAACTTATTTGCAATTCTAATCCATGTGTGCAATATTTCAAATCCACTTCCACTGTGACAAAATCATAACGACAATCTATCCGAAGACTTTCTGCACCTTGCTGAGATTCAAAATCAAAGTCATGAAATAACATATGATAATAATATATACAGTTTAGCACTTGCTGCCATTGAAGATAAACTATTATCTCTAGGGGGAAATGAGCTTCCAACGTATGGACTTCCTGTGACTCAGAGGAGTACTATGCATAACTTGAGCCGTGAAGTAACGCGAGAACTTTGCTATGATGTCGAATCTTTAATCGAAGAAACTGAGACGCATATTTCGAAGTTTCTACCCAAGCAGTATTTGAAGCAGTTATGAATAGCGTTGTAAATAATGCAAGTAAAATCTTCTTTCTTGATGCACCAGGTGGCACAGGTAAAACATTCGTTATAAGAACGTTGTTGGCTCAAATTAGAAAAAACAAGCAAATTGCGCTCGCCGTAGCGTCTTCTGGCATTGCGGCAACTCTTCTGCCAGGAGGAAGAACAGCCCATGCTACATTCAAGATTCCCCTAAACTTAGCAGCACAAGAAACACCTACATGCAATATAAGCAAAGGAACGGGCTTATCAGAAGTCCTAAAGCGATGCCAGATTATCATCTGGGATGAATGCACTATGGCTCATAAAGCTGCTTTAGAAGCCTTAGACCGAACACTACAGGATATTTGCAGCAACAAGAAAATAATGGGCGGTAGAACATTGGTTTTGGCAGGCGACTTTAGACAAACATTGCCTATAATTCCTAGAGGTACACGAGCGGATGAAATAAAGGCCTGTTTAAAAGCATCACATCTGTGGCAAAGCGTGACACAATTCAAGCTGTGTACAAATATGAGAGCCCATGTATATGGGGATCAATTGTAGAATAAATTCGCATCTAATTTGTTGAAACTTGGAAACGGTGATTTACAAACCGACACTGAAGGCGAAGTTCATCTTGCTTTAATAGCCACCATTGTTGAAACTGTAGAGGAGCTTAAAACAAAAGTCTTTGATAATCTTACGGAAAATTATGCGAGACATCAATGGCTGTGTGAAAGAGCCATTCTAGCTCCTAAAAATGTTACGGTGAATAACATCAACTTTCAGCTTCTGCAAAAGCTTTCGGGTACTTCGCGCGTGTACAAATCTATAGATACCGTGCCATGCCAGGAGGAAAGTGTACATTACCCAGTGGAGTTTTTGAATTCGCTTGAGCCCTCGGGAGTTCCTCCCCATAATCTAAATTTGAAAATTGGTGTGCCTGTTATTCTTCCGCGTAACCTTGATCCACCCAAACTTTGTAATGGAACAAGACTGGTAGTAAAGAAAATGATGACAAATATAATTGAAGCAACAATTACTGGATGTGGCCAAGGAGAAGACGTTTTTCTGCCACGAATTGCATTAGTTCCCACAGATCTCCCGTTAGAATCTAAAAGGCTTCAGTTTCCTTTGAGGCTTAGTTTCGCTATGTCGATAAACGAATCGCAAGGTCAAACGTTAAAGGTGGCTGGACTTCAGTTGGAAGAGCCCTGCTTTACCCACGGTCAATTATATGTCGGATGCTCACGAGTGGGAAGTCCGAATAATCTATATGTTTATGCACCACACAATAAAACTAAAAATATTGTTTATAAGGAAACCTTAAATTAAAGTAAAAAAAAATTTTGTTCTAAATAGTATGTATCCTTTTTTATGCGGAAGAGAAGGTTTGTATTATCGTTTTTAGATTTTTATTTGATCACCCCGAACGACGTCGGATACCCTGCTAGTTGTTGAATATAATTGCTATAAGGCCATAAAAAAAAAAAACAAATAACTTAAGGACGAGCACACCTAAAAGTTAAACATTCTAAAAATATAATTATTAGCAAAAACCAACAACCACATGATCAAGTGAATTGCAGCGGAATAGCTGCGCTTGATTGTGTTGGCATAACAAAATGAAAAAGTGGAAAAAAGCAACGATAATTTACAAGGCGAACTTAGCACAGTGCATAGGCAACTGGCTGAGTCAGTGGGATCGTCGGCTCGAAGCCTACTGAAAGAAGTCTGATGAGGAAATGTGGTGATTTCCGAAATAGCTATCACTTCTACAATTTTTTCAATTATCGTTGCTTTTCCACAATAAGTTTTTCATTAAAAACGGCCTCGAGCTCAATAAAAATGGTGGAATATAATTGTTATAAGGCCATAAAATAACAAAAATAAATAACTTAAGGACGAGCACACCTAAAAGTTAAACATTCTAAAAATATAATTATTAGCAAAAACCAACAAACCAACAACCACATGATCAAGTAAATTGCAGCCGAATAGCTGCGCTTGATTGTGTTGGCATATCAAAATGATAAAGTGGAAAAAAGCAACGATAATTCACAAAGCGAACTTAGCACAGTGCATAGGCAACTGGCTGAGTCAGTGGGATCGTCGGTTCAAAGCCTACTGAAAGAAGTCTGATGAGAAAATGTGGTTATTTCCGAAATAGCTATCACTTCTACCATTTTTTCAGTTATTGTTGCTTGTCCACAATAAGTTTTTCATTAAAATCGGCCTCGACCTCAATAAAACTTGTTGAATATAATTGTTATAAGGCCATAAAATAACAAAAACATATTAGTTCTAAACGTAACAACGCAACGCAAAGTATCCGAAAATATGCATTTACTGCAAAATATGCTGAAATATGCATTTATTGCGAAATATGCTAATATATGCTCCAAGAAATATAACTCAAACTTTATACTTTTTGGAAAAACGTTCAAGCATTTCATCAGCGTGTTGCTAACATGCCTGACAAAAAACATGCCCGAATATATTTTGGATTGCCCTAGTAATAATAATATTTTGACGCTTACACGCTAAGTGTTTTGGCCGAGTTTCTCCTCCAATTTGTGGTAAGCGTCCTGATGTTATAAAAATGGAGGGAGGTATGTCGCCTGCGATAGGCAAATGAATTTTATGAGAAGCTTTTTCATGGCAGAAATACACTTGGCGGTTTGCAATTGCCTGCAGAGGAGCGACCGCTTTAAAAAAAAAAAACATTTTTTTATACTTTCTGCGATATTGCTTTGACCAGGGTTCGAACCCAAATTATTCGGAGTGGTAGAACACACCTCTAATCCTTAGGCTACAGCGGCCAACAACACTTACATGTTAGAAAAAAACAAGCTGACAAGCGCAACGCTCAACGCTATGGCACTCAATTCGGCAATGATACCAACTACGAGTACATACACTCCAAAAAGGATAATTGCGTCTCGGTCATGCTGTTTATAGAACTTTTTTGCGTGTGCAACTCAAATCGACTGCCGACCACCATGCTTATTCATGCCGAATTTTAAGCGATGGTGGCTGGTCCCCGATTCATACTTATGTATCTGTTGAATTATTGAACTGCCAAAAATTAATAACCTCACGGAGCCCTGGGACTTTTCTACGAAACCCTTGGGTTCCCCGGAGCCTAGTTTAGGAAGTTCTGGTCTAGTGAAACGTCAACTTAGCCAGAAATTACAATAACTTCAAAACAATTTTTAATGTTATAAGCCCTATGGTTGCGTCTAATTCAAATATGTGTCGTTGTTTTGCAAAACCGATTAAATCGCCGTTACGGCAAAAATTAGATTTGGTAACCCTGAACTCCAGGCATCCAGATTTATGCATAGAAATCATAAAATAGTTATTCAAACAACAGATTTTGTAACATTATAGCTAGAGAAAATGCCTTCAAAGACAAATCTTTTTTCGCTCTTCTGTAAAATTTGAGTGTCGTAAGATAGGGCGTTTTGCAAAAACATCGACGATATAATATATGTATGTTTATATATATATATATATATATGTATAATAACTTTTATATTAAATTTTTATACGATTCCTGCATTGTTAAAATGATAAGTGAATACTTTTACGCTTGGTTCCTCTCGCACTCACCTTTAATTCACACACACTGCAGTTTCCGCTTAAAGGAAAAACGTTTGTTCATATTTTAAAATTCACAACAGGTGTTTTTGGTTTTTTTATTTAAACTTTAAGTCTAACCGCACAGATATGTATATATGCCTGTATAGGTATTGGTATGCACCATTTATTTCACAAATTAAACGAATTAGTTTAAAAGGGCGCGTGCGCGTTGTCCGACTGTAGTAGCTGAACTGCCTTTCGCCTAACTTGGCACGATGATAGTAGGCGGCCGTGCGCGCTCGGGAATAATTTTTTCGGAGTCGCCTCGAATTAGGTTTAAGCGGCGGCTTAAACATCATCCCCGCCCTGCAAAAATGCGCTGCTGAGTGTCTCCTGCAGCTCTTTAAGGGCTCGTATTGTGTTACCAAGGACGTGGTGGGTGGTGCGGCCCTGGTAATTGGCCGTTTGCAGGCCATGGGGGGTGCGCGCGATAGTCTTTCATGCGACCTTCTTTCGCGTCGGTTGCGGTGCCTGGTAGCGCGGGTTCTTCTGCGCACTCTTTGGAGCCGATGTTCGCTGCTCGGGCTTCTGTTCCCTTGGCCCGGGCCATGGTTCTTGGCTACCACATGCAGCAGCGTATGGTGCGCTAGCCCGCAGATCTTGCAGCTGCCTGGCGAGTCGCATTCCCCGGTAGTGTGGGTGAGCGCAAGGCAGTTGATGCAGTAACCCTGCGCGCGGGCTACTCCCAACCGTTATGGCGGCTTCATCGCCTTGAAGGCCAGGAACATCCGCAAGGCATGGTACCGGTGGCAGAGGCGGCATTGTAGGCAGTTATCCGTCTCCGCCGTTGGAGCCAGGGGCAAGAATAGGCAGAGAAACGAGGAGTACTTGCGTACAATATTTAAACGGGAAGTTAAGACCCTTAATATACAGAAGGAAAATATGTATAGAATTATTTATTGTGCTTTTGGAAGGAAGCACAGTTTGACAAGTGGCCGCGTGATAACTCCATTTTGTGTACGGACTTCCACGACACGTATGTGGTTATTTCGATTCGTCCCAATCGCCACTCGGTGGGGGGAGCGAATCTTATTTGATCACGATGATGTCGCCTGGCTGAGGATCGCGTTGTGGTGTTTTCCACTTGTATATCTTCTGAAGATCTTTGAGGTAATCTTCTTTCCAGCGGCGACTAAATTGGTGGTAAAGTGCTTTCACTTTCTCCCACCGATCTAGTAGAGAGAGGTCTTCCGCATTAATTAATGAATTGACCCGGAGTAAGTGCTGTCATATCAGCTGGGTCTTGGGAAAGTGCGGACAGAGGTCTCGAGTTGAGGACTGCTTCAATTCGCACCTGAAGCGTCGTGAATTCTTCAAAACTAAACTTGTGGGTTGCAGCGGTTTTCTTTAGACGGATTTTAAAGCTTTTCATTGCAGATTCCTACAAGCCGCCCATGTGGGGGGCGCTGGGTGCTATATATTGCCAGTTGATGCCTTGCGGGGCATATTTTTTGACCATGTCTGCGCCCTGGGCGCGAATGAACGTTTTTCCAGTGTCACTCATAATTTTTGAGGGGAAACCTCGTCTGCCGACGAAGCGGGCGAATGCTGCTCGAAAAGTCTCGGTTGTAAGATCCGAGCATAGCTCGAGATGCACTGCCTTTGTGGAAAAACAGACAAAAACTGCAACGTATCCCTTGATAAGGGTGGTAGATCTTAGCACCGATGCTTTAATTTGGAATGGCCCTACAAAATCTACTCCAGTTGTAGAAAAGGGGAGTAAGAAACTGCAGCGCTCAGGAGGTAGAGCGGCCATTATTTGGGTGCGTGTTTGTTGCTTGTAAAGCGTGCATACTTTGCATTGAAAAATGGATTTTTTAATCAGAGGTTTTAGCTTTGGTACGTAGTACTCGTGCCTTACCATTTCCAGCATTAACCGTGTTTCTGCGTGAAGAAGCAGCGAGTGTAAAAACTCCAAGTAAAAAA